AGTTCCTGCACTCCCCGTATCTCTCTCCTTTCTTTGTCCTTCCTCTTCATCACCGAGGATGGAGTTTGATGCCCTGTCCCTTTAGTCCTCAGAAGGGCTCACACACCCTGCCTTGCCCGTGTTCTGACTCCTACCTACAGCACATCATCCGGTCTCTTATCCTCAGAACAAAACTACATGGTCCTTGCCATGTTTTCCTGACTTACCCCCTGACCTCCAAATGCTTGACCTCCTCCATTCAGCTGGTTGTCTGGGCCACAGGCTTATCTAGCATCTCATCATCTGTGATGCTGAGCATTCCTCAGCATTCCTTGACATTGCCCTATTCCAGCTCTCCACTCATTATTGCTGGACTTTGTCCCTTTATCACCCCCTCTGATGATGAATACTTACACATCCTCTGCCACTTGGCTCTGAGGACATTTCCTTCGTACTACCATCTGCATCAGGCCATGTGGGAGTGAGGAGTGAGTGCCTGGGGGTTAGGAGCCGTGGGGTAACCTGAGGTACCAAGGAAGGTTTTCTACATCAACTGCCTCCCGGTACCACAGGTTCTTTCTGATGTGTTACCTGTTTGTAAACCTGGCGTGTGCTGTGCAGACGCTTCTAAGGACCCCCAACTGGCGGCCCCGATTCAAATACTATCACTGGTGAGTGTCTGCTGGAGTAAGTCCCAGGGCGAGTCCCCTGATACTGTTATTGGGGAAGCCACAAGCCCCATTCTGGAGAAGTTTGAGTTTCCCAGGAAGCCTTTGCTCTTGAAACACTATGAGGAGAGAGATTTTCAGAATGGAGACTTGACCTGCTTCACACATGCTTGTGACTTAGGACCTGTAAGGGCCACCAGGGTATGGGATAAACTATGACCTGGATTCCTGATTCTTACCCTCTCATCTCTGGTCCAGGACATTGTCTTTCCTAGGCATGAGTCTCTGCCTGGCTCTTATGTTTGTCTCCTCCTGGTACTATGCCCTAGTCGCCATGCTCATCGCAGGCATGATCTACAAGTACATCGAGTACCAAGGGTGAGTGAAGGGCTGTTGTCCAGCCTGTTAACGGCTTGTATAGCGCTACAGGTGTCGAGCTGAGCAGTTAGGATGGTTAGTGGTGGCAGGCTGGACCAGCTTTTCTTCTGCAGTTGGTGCTTGGTCTGTGGTTGGGCTGTGACTCGGGGCCTGGCCTTCCTCCAGCCCATGCTCACGTAGAAATCCCTGGGTCAAGGGCTATGAATGTAGCTCAACAGTAAAGTTCTCAGCATGAAAAAGCGGGTGTGAAGAAGAGGAAAGGAAGGGAGGGAGGCAGGGAAATCTTTGGGTGGAAACAGGGGCTCAGTAGCTTGTGGTGGCTGACATCTATAGGGCTGAGAAGGAGTGGGGCGATGGGATTCGCGGCCTGTCCCTGAGCGCTGCACGCTATGCCCTGCTGAGGCTGGAGGAAGGGCCTCCTCACACCAAGAACTGGCGGTAAGTCATGCCCTCTCAGGGTTCTTAGGGAACACTGGGGTGAGGGCTCTGTAGTTCTCTCCAGGAGATTGTGAGAGGTACCCTCTTTCTTGTTGAGCCCGTGCATCTCTGTTACCCACACTTGTCCACATTCTGAGAGAGGCCAGGCCCTTACTTCAGGCTGCCTAACTGTCTGACCACTGCAGGCCTCAGCTCCTGGTACTGCTGAAGCTGGACGAAGACCTTCATGTGAAGTACCCTCGGCTCCTCACCTTTGCCTCCCAGCTTAAGGCCGGGAAGGGCCTGACAATCGTCGGTTCTGTTATTCAGGGCAGCTTTTTGGAGAGCTATGGCGAGGCCCAGGCTGCTGAGCAGGTAATGGCCAGGGGTGGGAAGACAGCTTAGTCAAATCAACATGTCTGGGGAGCCTTGGGCGTAGAGGGGAGGACCTAACCAGTCTTGGCCACTGTCACTGGCCAGATGAACAACACTCTCACCATCTTCAAGCTTGAATAAGTATAATTGTCCAAGTTGAAAGCATGGCCTAGAAAGCATGGCCTATGGGCTGGCAAAACACCTCAGTGGGTACAGACACTCATGTATGTACGTAATGACCTAAGTTTGATTTCCAAATCCTACAAAGTGTCAGTGTCATCTTTTGACTTTCATAGGATATAGTATGCTTGCACTGCGTTCATATTCACACACACACACACACACACACACACACACACACACACAGAAATAAAATAAGGCTCAGAAAACATGACCCGTGTGTAGGCAGCTTGCTCCAAGGTCTCCCTATTAATCCCAGGGTCATGGTAGGGATTCCAGTTGGGGTGGAAACTGGTGGGCCTTGCATTTTGATGCTCTTGTATTCCCCACAGACAATCAAGAACATGATGGAGATTGAGAAAGTAAAAGGCTTCTGCCAGGTAGTGGTGGCCAGCAAGGTTCGAGAGGGACTGGCCCACCTCATCCAGTCTTGCGGCCTGGGCGGCATGAGACATAACTCCGTGGTGCTGGGCTGGCCCTATGGCTGGAGACAGAGTGAGGACCCACGTGCCTGGAAGACCTTTATTGGTGTGTGAGGGTCTGGCGTCTAAGCTGGGCCAGGGGCCAAGGGCCAGGGTTAAAGTGCGGTGGCAGAGACCAGAGGGTCACAGGCTGGCAGTCAGCAGTGCCCCTCCTCCCTAGACACTGTGCGCTGTACCACAGCCGCCCACCTGGCCCTGCTGGTGCCAAAGAACATAGCTTTCTACCCCAGCAACCATGAGCGCTACCTGGAAGGCCACATTGATGTGTGGTGGATCGTGCACGATGGAGGCATGCTTATGCTTCTGCCCTTCCTGCTGCGCCAGCATAAGGTGTGCCAGTTGGTTGGGCATGGGTGAGGGCTGAGGGTAGCGGGGCTCTTGGAAAGGCAGGTGTGACCCAGCTACTCCCATGCTCTGTTGCCACAGGTCTGGAAGAAGTGCCGGATGCGCATTTTCACCGTGGCCCAGATGGACGACAACAGCATCCAGATGAAGAAGGACCTGGCCACCTTCCTGTATCACCTCCGCCTGGAAGCTGAAGTAGAGGTGGTGGAGATGGTGAGCCTGCCCTGCCTGGTCCCTGAGGATCCCCAGGACCATGCAGCCTGGTACTCAAAGCTTCCCCTCTTTCCAGCACAACAGTGACATCTCTGCGTATACCTATGAGCGGACGCTGATGATGGAGCAGCGGTCTCAGATGCTGCGGCAGATGAGGCTGACCAAAACTGAGAGGGATCGAGAGGTGAGTGGCTATCTTGGTTCAGGGTTGGGTAAGGGCCGTGTCATGCCCTTGAGGACGCTGTCTAGTGGAGGTATCAGAGTGACTCACTTAACCAGGCATGGTGGCTCCTATCCATAATCCTAGCACTCAAGAGGCTGAGGCAGATGGATTCCTGTGAGTTTGAGGCTAGCCTGGTCTACTTAGTGAATTCCAGGCCAGCCAAGGCTACATAGTGGGACCCTATCTCAAAAACAAAATAAAACAAAAGGCTTGGCATGGTGGCTGGTGCCTAAAATTCCAGTACTTAGGAGACTGAGGCAAGAGGCCAGCCTGTCTTAAACTAACAAACAAAAAGCCCTCACCTGCTCCTCCTGAACCAGAACCAGCCAGTGCCCATTTCCTAGAGACAGGGTGGTCATGTTGGGCCAGCCAGGCCCTCATTTTCCCAGGGTACCAAGGCTACCTCCTCTGGTTGTCCTCAGGCCCAACTGGTCAAGGACCGGCACTCAGCCCTGAGGCTGGAGAGTCTTTACTCAGATGAGGAGGATGAGTCTGCGGCAGGGGCTGATAAGATCCAGATGACATGGACCAGAGACAAGTACATGACTGAAACCTGGGACCCCAGCCACGCCCCTGACAACTTCCGGGAGCTGGTACACATTAAGCCGTGAGTACAATCTGTGTTGCTGTCTGGAACGGAGGAGTGGGGTCAGGCAGGCTATAGAGAGAGGTGGGGGACAGGGACCCTTTGGCTAGGTAGTCCTCAGAGGCCTGTGGTCGGCTGCTCTGTCTCCAGGGATCAGTCCAATGTGCGGCGTATGCACACTGCTGTAAAGCTCAACGAAGTCATTGTCACACGCTCCCACGATGCCCGCCTGGTCCTACTGAACATGCCTGGCCCCCCTAAGAACAGTGAGGGTGATGAGAACTGTATCCTTTTGTGTAACGGCTGAGTGGGGAGCCGTCCTCTCCTCGGGTGGAAAGTGGCCTTGGTCCTGTGGCTGCCTCCTTGACCTGATACCCTGCAGACATGGAATTCCTTGAAGTGCTAACGGAGGGCCTTGAACGGGTGTTGTTGGTGCGTGGCGGTGGCCGGGAAGTCATCACTATCTATTCCTGAGCCCAGTGGAGTCTTGTGGCCTGGAGTTGGCATGTCTAGGGCAACAGTCCCCAGCCCTGCACCCACTTGCCAGTTCTGCTTCGCCTGACCTTGCTTTGGACCTGCTTTGCTAGGTCTCCAGGGAAACCAAGCTTGGACCTGGCAATGGAAATGGATCCGAGGGCCCATGGGACACTGGGGGATTTAGGGACTTTCCCTTCCATAGCCCAGTGTAGGCCTATCCTGACTAAGGAAGACTGGTGAGGGTTGATGTGGGATTTCAAGTCCCAGACTGGCCCACGATCACTATTTATTGTATATTTATTGTTTGGATATCATCATCAGAGAAGAGGGGAGGGGCAGTAAGAGGGGGAGTTGAGCTGGGCCTGCCTGCAGGAAGTCCTGGCCCAGGCTGCTGTGAGCAGAGACCCTCATCAAGCCAAGTGGGTTGGAGCTGGCCAAGCTGAGCCTGACTTTTTTCAATAAAACATTGTGTACTTCTGGGCCTCCTGCTGCCCCAGCTCTTTTTCCCTGGCGCCAAGGGAAGAAAGAGGGAACTGAACCCAAGCCCAGAGCCAGAGTCCTACAGCTATGCCCCTTCCTGGCCACCCCCATTGGTGGTTCTGTCCCTCCCACTGGCCTTGGGGCCCCTCCCATTCCTGTTCCAGATAAGGCCGGCCCTGGACTGCCTCATCTGGCAGTAGGCACTGGGCTGGAATGGGGCTGCCTGGCTCCCCATGGCAGTGGGTGCTGCTGCTGTTGGGGCTACTGCTCCCTCCCGTCGCCCCCTTCTGGCTCCTCAATGTGCTGTTCCCCCCGCACACCACGCCCAAGGCTGAACTCAGTAACCACACACGGCCTGTCATCCTCGGTAAGCCCCCGCTAGGCCCCCCAATGCATCCGCCAAGACCTTGGGGAGCCTGGGTCCTAGCCCCTGCCAGCAGCAGATGCTGTCAGGGTTCTTTTGCCCCCACCGTTGGCCCTCGTTCCTTGGTAAGGCTTGTCCTACAGACATTTGCCCCTCTCCCCTTCACTGTTGTGTCTCCAAGCTGTCTTCTCCAGGGGTTTGGGGTTGATGTGGTGGTCAGCGAATGGGATGAGGTTTGCCTAACGCCTTGGCCAGAGCAGTACACGCTGTGGCCAGCTCCAGATACATCGGATACTGGGTTAAGCCCCACTACTTCCTTGGCCTCCACCTTACCAAAAACAAGATACTGAGAACTGTATCCTTTTGTGTAATGGCTGACAGTGGGGAGCCATCCTCTCCACTGTCAGCCCAGGGCAGGATAGCAGGAGGTCTAGAAAGGCCTGCCCCCTGTTCTAGGTCCAGCCCCTGTTCCCCCAGACCTATTTGTTCTCTCTTTGGACTTTGGCAATAATGGAAAGCCAAGCTGGATGTTTGCTTTGTGGGGGCAGGGGTCAGTGGCCTTAGTTCCTGCACCTTCCCTGCTGAAGGGAACCCGGAATTTGCAGTACTGGTGGGACAGTAAGAAGTATGATGGAGTGAGAAGTGTCATTAGAACTTTGAGGGGGTGGAGGGGTGGGGTTTTTGGTGGTAGGGTTGGGGGAAGTTGGGGAGAAGCCAAGAAGTTCAGAACAAAAGCTGGTGCCCACAGTGCCTGGCTGCCTGGGGAATCGGCTAGAAGCCAAGCTGGATAAACCAGACGTGGTGAACTGGCTGTGCTACCGCAAGACAGAGGACTTCTTCACCATCTGGCTGGATCTCAACATGTTTCTGCCCCTTGGGGTGGACTGCTGGATTGATAATACCAGGTATGTCCCATGTGCTCTACCCAGCCCCCTGCACATTGCCCCTTTGCTGCTGGCTGCTAAATGTCCCACTGTCCCCAGGGTTGTCTACAACCGAAGCTCTGGGCGCGTGTCCAATGCCCCTGGTGTTGAGATCCGCGTCCCTGGCTTTGGCAAGACCTACTCTGTTGAGTACTTAGATGACAACAAGCTGGCAGGTGTGTGTACTCCGGGAAGGGCAGGGACTCTTGCTGGCCATCAGGCTGGCCCGCAGGTATAATGGACAGAGTCCCCCATGTTGCCGCCTCCCCATAGGTTACATGCAAACACTAGTACAGAATCTGGTTAACAACGGGTATGTTCGGGATGAGACAGTGCGGGCCGCACCCTATGACTGGCGTCTGGAACCCAGTGAGTATTTGCCCGGGATGGGCTGGGGCCAGGATGGGTGGTTCCCAGACCCTAGTGGCCCTGACCTATCTACAATTTTCAGGCCAGCAGGATGACTACTACCAGAAGCTGGCGGGACTGGTGGAGGAGATGTATGCTGTTTATGGGAAGCCCGTGTTTCTTATTGGGCACAGCCTTGGCTGCTTGCATGTGCTCTATTTCTTACTGCGTCAGCCTCAGTCCTGGAAGGACCGCTTCATCGATGGCTTTATCTCTCTTGGGGCTCCATGGGGCGGCTCTATCAAGCCCATGCTGGTCCTGGCCTCAGGTGAGGAGCCTCTTGATCACCGTCCTCTGAGTGGGGTGAGAGGAATGACGTAGATCACAGAGCCTGTGGCTGCAGCCCTGCTCACAGTGCTGCCCAGGGATATTGTCTGTGGGGCATACCCAACGTCCCTTAGGTCCTTGGAAGCAGCACCGTTGGGACATCTCCTTCTAGAGCCTTTAAGTGACGTAGAGGATGTCTACCAACCCCAGATTTGCTCCTTGCAGCTCCAAGTCCTGTATACTCTTGTCTCTGTGTGCAGGGATTTGTTTCATTGAGGACATACTTGCCATAGCCGGGCCAAACCTAGGGTTCCCTTTGCTTTTGTTGTTGTTGTTGTTTTGTTTTTAGAAGCATACCCAAGAACCCAGTACTAGTACAGCTACCACTCACTGAGCACCACTATCCTGGGCACAGCACACAGCAAGGCTTAGCCTTCACTGTGGAAGTTCAGTTTAGTGAGTAAATCACCAGACTGTATCACTGAGTATAAAACAGACACCATCTGCTTCTCCAGAAATGCAATCCTGTGACCACTGTGCATCGTAGAGCGTAAGCCCACTTAGGGCCTGAGGAAGAATAGCCAACACACACACCTCATTCTCTTCAACTGCCCTTCTTTCCTTACACTCTGTTTGAGGCCTTAAAGCGCTGGCTTATAGAAATACCAACATAGCCTCTTATTAAATAAACCTATTTAGCATTTAACTGAACACCAGGCCTGCTCTGGTCTGTGTCCTGAAATCAAGGTCTAGATGGGGCAGAAACAAGTTTGAGCTCTTCCCAGGCAAAATGTGGGGCCTGGCCCAGCTCTCTGCCCCGTCTTGCTCTGCACCCACAGGTAACAACCAGGGCATCCCGATCATGTCCAGCATCAAACTGAGAGAGGAACAACGCATCACCACGACCTCCCCCTGGATGTTCCCAGCCCACAATGTGTGGCCTGAAGACCATGTGTTCATTTCCACGCCAGACTTCAACTACACGGGCCAAGACTTCGAGCGTTTTTTTTCAGATCTGCATTTTGAGGAGGGCTGGTACATGTGGCTTCAGTCTCGTGACCTCCTGGCAGGCCTTCCAGCACCTGGTGTAGAGGTATATTGTCTGTACGGCGTCGGTCTGCCCACACCCCACACCTACATCTATGACCACAACTTCCCCTACAAAGACCCGGTGGCTGCACTCTACGAAGATGGCGATGACACTGTAGCCACGCGCAGCACCGAGCTCTGTGGCCGGTGGCAGGGCCGCCAGTCACAGCCTGTTCACTTGCTGCCCATGAATGGGACGGAACATCTCAACATGGTCTTCAGTAATAAGACACTGGAACATATCAATGCCATCCTGCTGGGTGCCTACCGTCACGGCACTCCCCCAGCTCCCAGCCCGGGGCCCCCACCCCCTGAATAAAGACCTTTGCTGTTCTGAGTCCTGTGTGTAGTGGGTTAAGGGAAGTCACTACTAGATTCCTTAGATTCTTAGGTCCCCCTGGGCTCCGGGGAACAGGAGGTTAGATGGGGTTTGGTGAGACTGAACTAAATGAACAATACAGTTTAAAATATGGTGGCTGGGGCCGGAGATCTGTTAAGAATGGTATGAAAAATAAAGATTAGGGACTGGAGAAATGGCTCAGCAGTTAGGAACACTGGCTGTTCTTCCAGATGAACAGGTTCAACACACAGCACCCACATGGCAGCTCAAAACTGTAACTCTGGTTGCAGGGGTTGGCACCTTCACAGATCTGCATTCAGGCAAAACACCAATGCACATAAAAAGAAAAGATTAGCGCCGGGTGGTGGCGGCACATGCCTTTCATCTCTTCATCTAGGCCAGCGTTTTCTAGCCAGCAAGTTCCAGGACAGCCAGGGCTCCATGGAAAAACCCTGTCTCAATGGAGTCCCTCACAAAAAAAAAGTTTAGGATCTTAAGGAATGACAATTCATCTAAAGAAAGCTTAATTTGGGGTTTGAGAGGTAGCTCAGACAGTAAGAGCATTTGTTGCACTTAGAGGACCTGAGTTTGGTTCCCAATACCCATATGGTATCTCACGACCATCTGTAACTTCAATTCCAGGAAATCTGATGCCCTCTTCTGACCTTAGTGGGCACCTGGCATGCACGTGACATTCACTCATATACATATATATATATCTGAGTGGGTTTTTTGTTTGTTTTGAGACAAGGTTTCTCCGTCCTGAAACTGTAGACAGGCTGGCCTCGAATTCTGAGATATCCCATCTCTGCCTCCAGAGTCCTGCCTAGGTTTAAAGGCGTCCATCACCACCACCTGGCAATTTATACTTTAGCGTTATGAGTGTTTTGTCTGTATATATGTGTTTACAGTACTCTTGGGGGTGTCAGATGAAGTGGGGATGGAGGAACTAAAGAGCACCATGGAAGACCTGGCAAGGGGTACAATATCCTCTTCCTCTAGCTACCTGGGGCTAGAAGCAAAGATGAAAGTGAAAGAAGATAAACAAAGCGACCAGCAGCTTCTAAACTGGGGTGGAGGTGAAAGCGAAAGTGGGAAGCGTCCTGTACAACCCCACAGAAGCTGAGACAAACGCCTTTCTGCTGCCCCTTTGCTTCACTCTTTTCTTCCTCTGATCCACCCATCGACCCCCGGAGCTCAATCGGCCTCCCTGCCCTGAGATGCTGAAGCAGGCAGTGGAACACACAGGAGGCTTCTCTTTCGAGAACTGCCAGAGGTAAAGGGGAAGTGGAGTTCTAATCGCAAACTGCTGGTGCTCGACTGTAGGCCTTGTTTTACTGGAAGAAGTGTATGTGTGTGTGTGTGTGTGGGGGGGGTGTCTTTATGTTGGATGACCAAGAAGGGGTTTAACCCAGGAAATAAGGAAAGTAGACATGGGTTCAAAAGCCCTTCATTAGAGGCTGAACTGGAACGTGAGTCACCCCAATGTTTCTAGGAATGCGTCCTTGGAACATGTCTTCCCGGGCTTTCGGGTCCCTCATGCACGCAAGACGGGGACTACCATCGCGGGACTTGTGTTCCGAGTGAGGAGGGCAATCGGTCTGGGAGGGCTCAAATGGCAGCCACTGCGAAAAAGATCGGGTGGGCATTCAGGCTGGGCTTTTCCTCTGCAGGATGGAGTCATTCTGGGCGCAGACACGCGGGCCACTAACGATTCGGTCGTGGCGGACAAAAGCTGCGAGAAGATCCACTTCATCGCCCCCAAAATCTAGTAAGAACCCCCCAGGCCAGTCTCCACACTCAAGTAAAAGCTGCACTGTCGCTCAAGCCCTACTCTGTCCCTGCACGTCCCCGTTCACACCCACCATCCCTCTTCCCTCAGCTGCGGTGGGGCTGGAGTAGCTGCGGACACTGAGATGACCACGCGGATGGCAGCTTCCAAGATGGAGCTACATGCGCTATCCACAGGCCGTGAGCCTCGGGTGGCCACGGTCACCCGTGTCCTGCGCCAGATGCTCTTCCGGTAAGGAAGTGGGGTTAAGATGACCCCTGTAGGCGTGATTTGCAGGTGAGTGGAGTTGACAGGAGGTGGGACCGAAGAAAACGCCAGGCCGCGAACAGCAAAAAAATCAGAGAAGCCCGGCAGGCCGGACAGAAGCTGAGTTCCGGATGCGAGGCCACAGGAAGGGGTGGGACTCAAGCCGAGAAGAGAGAGTGGGCGGGACCTGGGTCCAGCCGGCAGTAACCCCGCCCACTGCTCCCCAGGTACCAAGGCTACGTGGGAGCATCACTGATCATGGGCGGGGTTGATCTGAACGGACCGCAACTCTATAGCGTGCACCCCCATGGCTCCTACAGCCAGCTGCCCTTTACGGCCCTTGGTGAGCGCTTCCACACTTTGGCCACGGATTCTGCCCTGCAGCCCTACCTTCAAGGTTTGTACCCCAGGTGGAGCAACTAAAACTCACTTCAGATGCCCCTTCCCACTTGCAGGCTCTGGACAGGATGCAGCCATAGCACTGCTGGAGGACCGGTTCCAGCCAAACATGACGGTGAGCGACTTCTGCCCATGACTTCATGCTCACTGGTGAGGGGTGCCGGAAAAGCCCTGGCCAAGTATAGAAACAAGGAAGGCTTGTAGGAGTGAAGGTGACGACCGAGTAGGGACCGAGTAATGCTGAAGAAGTGAGGTCCAGACAGTAACCAAGCTTAGACCGCAGTAACCAAGCTGACACTCCCAAAGGATCACGAACTGAAGGGAGACGTAAAGGCCAGTGGGGTTCTATATGAGGCTTGAGGTCTGGACTTCGGAGTGGGATAGAACTAGATGACTATCCGCTTCAGAGATAACCAACATCCAGAGAAACACGGTGACAGAAGACTAGATTGGTGGGTGTTAAGAGTGCGGGGCGGGGGGGGGGGGGGGGGCTGAAAGTGTAAACAACACTGAGAAGCTTGTACAGAGGATAGTGGGTGGAGGGAACACAGTTTCTGGGAGAGAGACAGAAGCTAAGGGACTGGAAGGTTGAATGGAAGGAGAGAAAGGAGGCTGAACTTACACAAATAGCAAATTGTCTAGGCTTCAAGACAACAAAGGCCCCAGGTTAGAGTAAGGTAGCACTAGTTCGATTTAACCTCATTTACACTACCACAGCTGGAGGCTGCACAAGAGCTGTTGGTGGAAGCCATCACTGCAGGGATCCTGGGTGACCTGGGCTCCGGAGGCAGTGTGGATGCGTGTGTGATCACTGCAGCCGGTGCCAAGATGCTGAGAACATTGAGCTCACCCACAGAGCCTGTGCAGAGGTAGGAGCAGGGAAGGGGGGGGCTATAGAGGGGAACTGTGGTCTTAGCAAGAGCTGCAAATAGGGGGTCTGCCAGAACAGGACAGGCTGCATTCTGAAAGGCTGGCCCTCCTCCCTTCTAGAGCTGGCCGTTATCGATTTGCTCCTGGAACCACAGCTGTCCTGACCCAGGAAGTGAGACCCCTGAACCTGGAGCTCCTGGAGGAAACTGTGCAGGCCATGGAGGTGGAATAAAGTGGCCTGGGAGTTAAAGCTTGGAACAAGGGGGAATAAATCCAGGAAATACAAACACTTAAACAGAAACCCGTGTCTTTCTTGAGAGGAGTGGGCCAAGCAGCCATATGTATGAGCTTTGTGCCTGAGGTGTCTATGTAAGGAGCACAAATCTAGTTCCTGGCCTGATGTGCTCTTCATCATCACTTCTGGGATCTGTCCATCCAGAATCCCAACCCTAGCCAGCACTATAGGCTTTGAGACAGAAAGCTATATACTGTCATCCCCAAACCTAGTTCCATAAGGTAGAAGCTTACCCCATCAATAACCTTTCTTGTAAGACCCCACAGACAACCCCCACTCATAGCCTTTCCCTGGCTTATCAGTGATTGTTAGGTCTACCCTGGACCTTCGGGGGGCTAAAGGGTAAGTTCTCGCCAGGCACCCCTTCACCTACCTACAGTGCCTCTATTTATGACACCCCTCAGATGAGGAGGCCTGGTGGGGCCCCTGGTGAAGAGCTGGGCCTTGTCAGCACCTGAGGCACTGTGAGTGTGGAGACTGGCTCTAGGTCCTCTGGGCTAACGGGTTGTGGATTCATGGGCAAAGATGACATGTTTAACCGGAAACTTTTGCTAAGCGCCTACTGGGTGCTAGGCCCACTGGGTGCTGGTAGGAACATCCCATCAGAGTAGCTAAGCTCCACCAGGGCTTCAGGACTGAGAAGGTATGTTCTCCAAAGAGATCCTCCTCCAGGCTGGACACCCTTGGCCCTTGATTGTGTGTGCCACCTAAGACTTTGTTATGAAAAATTATATATACAACACTGAAGTTAAAGGAACTGTTCAGTAAAACATCCATTTGTCCACCCGCTTTTATAACTCGAATTGTGTTATATCTAATCTTGTGTCTATCCATTCCTTTATTCATGCATTCACCTGTTTCACACACACACACATATACCCTATTTTTTCAGACAGGGTTTCTTTTCTCTGTGTAGCCCTGGCTGTCTTGGACTCACTTTGTAGACCAGGCTGGCCTCAAACTCCCAGATATCTGCCTGTCTCTGCCTCCCTGAGTGCTGGGATTACAGGAGTGTGCCACCTCGCCCAGCTTTCACCTGTTTCACTTTTTAGACTGAGGTATTCCTGAGCCAGTCAAAGCCTTTGATGCCCTACAAAAATTCAGGCCAACTTACCTGTCGCAACTCTATGCACAGAAGCACCTGTTCTCCTCTCGTGCTCAGCCTCAATAACGTGCTGTGGACAGATCTGGCCCATGACAATCTGAGGTCTAGAAATAGACTTCGTGGCTGTCACTCTTCTGCTACCAACTTCAGGCCAGGGTCTCTTAGTCACTGAGGGCTCACTCACACCGGAATGTTTCCTTAGAGGTTTGGGTCCACCTCCCCTCCCCTTGCGCTGATAAGAGAATCAGCCTCCATGGGCAAACCTCTGTCTCCTGTCCCACACTGAGGTGAACGCCAACCTGTTAGGATTCACAACCTGCCAGATCCTCAATCCCTGGCCTTCGCAGCAGTGGTGGCCATGGCCATTCTTTCCATCAGTCACGACAGCCCTACGTTCTGAGCAGGCTCCTCTATCCAGCACTCCTGATAGCCCTGGGAAGTTTCGTAGGTCTTGGCTACCAGGTTGACACTTTAGACCTAGTTCAGCCATATGTCCTTGGTATTCAGTGGCCAACACTTGGGATAGGAGGTGGTTTAGAAAGCCAATGGGAAGCCAAGGCTTGGGGAGGTGGAGGTGAGAGCCTCACACCTGGGTACTTGATAATTCCAAGAACTTTGGCCAGAGAAAATATCTCTTAAGCAGGTGTGGGGCTATGATAAGACAACATAGCTGGCCTGGTGTCAGGCCCAAGACTTCTGCACCAAGGACAAGGATACCCATAAATAAAGCCAGGCCACTCTCAACCTCATTCATTACTGTCCACAATGCTACTGCTCGGCCTAACCCTTGGCCTGGTCCTCCTTGGCTCTTCTTGGGGTAAGTGGGCTGGGACCAACCTTAGCTGAACAACCAAGGACAACCTAGCTCCCAGCTCCTGTTCAGGGGCTCAGAGAAGGGGCCAGGCTGGCTAGAAGAGAAATAGACAGGGCAGGCACAGGGAAACTGATGTACCTAGGCTAAGGAAAGGGCCTTCGGGGCTGGGAGTGGGGGAAGAGCCAGAGACCACTTTTACAAGTGAGACAGGAGCTTGAGCCAGACCTGAGAAGGCTCAGGAAAACATGAAAGATGTGTATAGACTAGTCAAGGCTTTCTGGCTACATGGCAGGCTACTCAGGCCTCGAAGAACAGAGGGCTGAGGGGATGACACCAGGAATCAGGGAGAAAGTGGCCTGAAGAACATTAGCATGGCGTGGCTTGTAACTTGGCGGCATGCGTAGGACTTGAAGGTTGGTAGGTAGTTGTGCATGCCTAAAAGGCACTCAAGGGAAGGGATTTGGCTCCCTCCAGAATATATAGCTTGGGGGCACAGAATAAGAACACAGGAAGAGGTAGGCTGGTATGTGTGGATCCTTACCAGCCCTTTGTCCAGGCTGTGGTGTTCCTGCCATCACACCTGTGCTGAGCTACAGCCAGAGGATTGTCAATGGAGTAAACGCGGTGCCAGGCTCCTGGCCCTGGCAGGTGTCTCTGCAGGTACAAGCCTTAAGGATGGGTCAGAGTCCTGGGTGCTTTATGCCTAGGGCTAACTTAAACCCATTCACATATCTGATTTTTAACCCTAGGATAGAAATGGCTTCCACTTCTGTGGCGGTTCCCTGATCAGCCCGAACTGGGTAGTCACTGCTGCCCACTGCCAAGTCACGTGAGTGTATTCCACTTGCTCTGCCCAATCCATCTTTTCTCTCTTCCTTCTCTTGGATGCTCCTCTGAACCCCCCCTTGCAGCTACCCATTCCCATTTTCCTTGCAGACCTAGACAACACTTGGTCATTTTGGGAGAATACGACCGATCTTCCAATGCTGAACCTGTGCAGGTGATATCCATCTCAAAGGTGAGTACCCGGCTGCAGTTGCAGTAAGGCAAAACAGGCTTCACTTGCTATAGACGCAGAAATTCAAGCATGCCGTGACCTAGCCACCTCAGCATTGACCCCAGGTGCCTATGTCCACTCCAGCTTTACATGGCTCTTTACTGTCTCCACAGGCCATTACACACCCTAGCTGGAACCCTACCACCATGAACAATGATGTGACACTCCTGAAGCTTGCCTCACCAGCCCGGTACACAGCACAAATCTCCCCAGTCTGCCTGGCTTCCTCAAATGAGGCACTGCCTGACGGCCTCACATGCGTCACTACTGGTTGGGGCCAAATCAGTACTGTGGGTAAGAACATGGGTAAGAGGGAGGGGAGATGGGAATAAGCATCCTGGGTCAACCTAACCACCTTCTCTGACCCACAGGCAACGTGACACCGGCCCGCCTGCAGCAGGTAGTTCTACCCCTGGTCACTGTGAATCGGTGTCGGCAGTACTGGGGTTCACGTATCACGGAGTCCATGATTTGTGCAGGTGGCTCAGGAGCCTCTTCGTGTTACGTAAGTACGGCACCCTGTCCCCTGCATGGTCCCATGGTATACTTCCCCAAGCTGCCACCTGACTCTTCCCCTTCTCTTCCCTTTCAGGGTGACTCAGGAGGCCCTCTTGTCTGCAAGAAAGGAAACACCTGGGTACTTATTGGTGTTGTCTCCTGGGGCACAGAGAACTGCAACGTGCAAGCACCAGCCATGTATGCTCGGGTCAGCAAGTTCAACACCTGGATCAAACAAGTCATGGCCTACAACTAAAGTGTCCACAGATCCTTTCCCCCGTCCAGTAAAGACACCAGACTCAGTTCTCTTCCATACCCTTGTCTTTCATCCTGGCTTAGCAGGAAGAAGAGGCTCTTGAGGGTTCTAGCCCTGACTTGGACTTTGTCTTCTGGTATAGCATCATCTGAGGAGCTAGTCCTCTTCCTACAATAGTCATCCCAGGCTCTGGCCCCTACTCCTCTCTTTGAACAATCCACTAGTCCCATGGCAGTCAGTGTGGTCAGAAAAAAAAATGGCAGCCTTCCCTGGGGGAGGGCAGCTTGTTTATTGAATACAGAAGATACATTTACAGAGTACACAAATAAATAACTGCACATTCTCCATCCACAGTCCATGGCATGACGGCCTGGTGGACCTATCAAAGGCCTAAGACACTAAACTCCCTCTGTCCTACCCTCACAACCAGAGCTACTTTGGGCAAGGGAGAAAATAAACCCCCACTGGTTCACACCCCCAGAGATTCCTGGGGAACTGGTAGGTGGGGGAATTCCGAGGCTGTGAGGCTCGGGCTCTCCGCTGCCTCCTATTCAGAGGGCAGGAGATATAAGGATGTAAGGAGAGGGTATATAAGGCACAGTTGACTTGGCACAGAGTGGTCTCTTTGGTTTGGTTTCCCAGTGGAGGTGGCATACGTAGAAAAGAGGGCCTAGCTCAAGGCTTCCTTCTGAGAAGAACTGAGTGGAGTAAGACTCTTCCTGCTGACAGAGGCTCTTAGTCTAGCCAAGGCCCAAGCTAGGCTCTGTCCTGCCCCTTCTACACACTGAAAGCAGCTACAGAGGGAGGGAGCTTGGATTCCAGCCTCCTATGGTGATGGCAGGGGAGACCATGACAGCTAGAAGGACTGTTGTGGCTCAGTCCTCTGGGAAAGCAGCCCCTGCAGCCCTCCCCACCTCCCAGAATGGCTCCCTCCAGCCTGAGACTCAGTGGGGCCAGCCTGGAAAGTTAATGCTATGAAAAAGAAATGGGCACAGGGCAGATAGGGGCAAGGCCAGCTCTTACAGCAAAGTCAGTACCCATGGCACCCAGGGTTCAGAGGCAGGTAACACAGTACGGCTAAGTTCCAGGGTGAGGTTAGGAGAAGCTGAGCAGAAGGGGAGTTGAGCAGCCCAGGACTCTCCCCCAATTCAGCTACTCCTTTCTTTCCTCTTCCTTTTGGAGGGCTGTGGGTTTGCAAGGGTGTGCACCAGCCACCCTCCCTCTCCCCGCTACTCCCTCACTTATACCCAGGCTAGACACTAGATGGCGCCATCATGAAGCTATAAAGGAGGTCATGGCTACTCCGGATGAGCAGCGAAGGGCAATACCAAAAGATAGACCGAGGATTGACAATGGACTTCTGAGGAAAATCCTTTTCAGGCACATCCATCCCCCAGGTAGCAGCAGCTGAGCTCCCTTTAACCCCTCACTGTTGGGAAGGAGGCAGATGGGGGATGTAACAGCATCCAAGTAGGAGACAGAGACAGTAGTAGGCTCTGCAAAGGCACTGACGGTGATAGAATCCCTCTCATAGAGAGGTTGAAGCCTGAGCGTAAGGTCCATGTCACAGTCCTACACCAGAGGTGCTGGCAAGTCTGTGGGCTAGAAGGGGTCCCTGGTGGCACAATGAAGATAGATCTTGACTAAGGGAAATGGTGGGGTCACTTGGATCTAACTGGAGCTAAGGGACTAATGAGGCGCCCGGGGCTGGCAATCCAGCTATAGCAAAAGCTAGACCTCCCACTGGAGTACACCCTTAAGGATTAGCATGGCAGCGAATATGGGAGCTAGACCAATGCTTTGTGGATAAAAAGGGGTTAATAAAAGTAATGGATTAAAAGAGTCCTGAGCCATAGGACCCTTTCTACCCTACACTGTAGGTCCCTTTGGTCCAAGGAAGAGGCAAACATTAAGGAGACCAGTGGGGACTGGGTCCTGTACCTTTTCCCAACTCAAACAGAGCAGCTGCCTCCCAGATCCCAGTTCAGGTGGCCTGGGGCCACCATTCCATCATAGCAGGCAAGGTAGGAGGTGAGCGGCTGCTAAAGGTATAAAGAGGAGCTGGGTCCAGACATGCTCTGCATGCTGCTGGCCCTGAGGCCTCGCTGGAGAGAAGGGATCAGGCCCAGGTGACACACAGAGAGTGGCCAGACGGTAGTGTGTCCATGTCAGCGCTAGTGGCTCAGCCATTATACTGCTGCTGATAGCGCAGGTTGAGCTCCCGCAGTTCACGCTCCCTAACACGGCGAGACTTGTTGGAGCGTGTGGAACGGCTGGAACGTGTGGACTGGGAGGATTTGGTGCTCTGGCAACGAGAAGAAGCACGCTTGAGGAGATTCTGAGAAATGGATCGGTGGAGATTCTTCATGGATGAAGAGGCTGCCATGCTTACTACCCATGGGTGTCTTAGGGCTTGTAGTGCAGTCATCCGGGCTCCAGGGTCCACTGTCAGCAGCCGGTCAATGAAGTCCTTGGCCAGATTAGATACACTAGGCCAGGGCTAGAAGCCAAGAACAAAAATTAGTGTAAGAAGACTCAAGACTGTCCTCATATCTGGATATTCCCGTTAGATGGTAGAGCCCTAGTTTTGTGCAGCACATGGAGGAGGTACTCGGTAGGTACAGGTGTGGCGAATTGCTCACCAAGGGATGCTGTCTAATGGAGTCCTTTGTGGAAACTGCTTAGGCCACGGAACTCAACCTAGTGGAGCCAAGTGCGGTGGAGGGTTGTGGATCCTTAAGCTGCTCTACTGAAGGTCAGGTTCTGGGGCCCTGAATCTCCTGAGAGAACTTCTAAAAAGGGCTCTGATACGTAAAGGGTAGGCAGCTGGATAATTGCCTGTTCTGCTACACAGGCTCCACTATGATGCCAGGGGCACCACTGCTTTCTTTAGTGCTAGGTGAAGTCTGTTGTCCTACTCTGCAGCACCCTTCACCTTGGGGAGCCTCTGAACATGCTCCTCAGGCTGCTCAGGAACATCTTACAAGGGTCCACATTCCAGGTATGGACATGGCCATTTAACACACACCAGCTGATTCACATTACCCTAGTAGGGCTCCCTTGATCTCTTGCTAGACAACAGGTGAACCCCTTCCCAACTGCTAGACAAAAGTGATGCAGAGAGAAGACTCATCTGGATGCCTAAGGAAGAGGTAGGAGGCTTGTAGTCACCGTCCTCGCCTGCCTTTTAGAAATCAAATCTTAGATTTCACTGAGCTTAACTGCAAGTGACAAGAATCCAGCATGTAACAAGGCCACAATCACCATTAGGCCAGCACCCAGTGATGCTAGCACTCAGGAGGAAGAAAGTCAACGTCCGAGGACATGTAGCTATGGTGGTCCAGAGAGAGCTTGCTTACTCAGAGCAGCAAGCAGGTCCTGATACCCCTGTGGGTCCGTGGAGCACAGGTTCCTATGTTGAGACTAAGGAGGATGAGTGGATAACTGCCAAGAAAACTTTGGCTCACACATTAAGAAGGCCCTATGGAGGGGCTGGTGGGATGGCTCAGAAGTTAAGAGGACTGGCTGCTTTTCAGAGGACCTAGTTTTGATGCCCAGCCTGTATGGCAGTTCACAACTGTCTGTAATTCAAGTTCCAGGGAGTCTGACACCCTCTTCTTGTTTCTGCAGGCATGTACAATGCTACACAGACATAGGCACCAAAAACATCCATTCATACAATGGAAAAAAAAAAAAAAAAAAAAAAAAGCCCTATGCATTGCTGCTGGCACCTGAGCACAAGCCCCTGCCTCTCACTTACAAAATGGGGCCTATCAGGACTTGATGAACATAAAGCCCAGCAATGAACACACTGGATCACAACGCCTGCACTGTGCTACCTGCTGGGCTTCTCTAGTAACTAGAAGACATTCTGAAGCCCAGCCTGGGTTCCTGGAAAAACAGCTCCAAAGGAGCCCAGAGTGCCCTGCACATGGCTGCATGATTCTGAGTCTGTCCCTTATTCCATTCTGGACAGAGGAGCAACCCTAAGCCAGGCATTTTTGTACACACATTAGATCCCAGCAGGTGAGCCAGGGGTGGTAGTACACGCCTTCAATTCCAGCACTCAAGAGGCAAAGGCAGGTGGATCTCTGACTTTGAGGCCAGCCTGGTCTATAGAGTGAGTTTAAGGGCCACACAGAGAAACCCTGTCTTGAAAAGTCAATAATAATGATGATGATAGCAAAAGATCCCAGTACTTGGCAGGTAGAGGCAGGAGGATCAAGAGTTCAAAGCCACCCTGTACTTCAAAGACAATCTGAAGCCAGTTTAGGCCTCCTGAGACCCTATCTCAAACACCTTCCTCTAAAAGAGTAGCAGTTTCTCTGCAAAAGATGGAACAGTGGTTAAACTAGATTCACAAGCTAGAAATCTGAACGCGGATGAACTGGTGGCTTCCTCACTTCAATTCCTCACCCAGTCAAACTGTGGACTCCTGGGGCTTGGAACCAGTCTGATACAGTCTTAGAAGGGCCTCTTACCAGACCTGTATAGTGAGCTTAAACATCTCCATCTCCAGAGTGGCACAGGCGAGCACCAGGCACCAACCCCTGCTGCTTGTCAGGCAGTCAGCCTGTTAGTGCTAAAGCAAGCCAGATTGATCTACCCTTCCTATTCCCCCAGACTCTCGCCTTATCAATTACTGTGTTCGTGCCACTGTGTATAGAATGCCAATAGATTCATTTGTCTGAGTGCCAGCACAGCTCTCTGGAAGGCCCCCAACACTCTCATTCTTTGAAGAACTGGGAAAAACTATGCTGGTAGTGTGATTCCCCAAGCCAATGCAACTCAAGTCGTCATACCTTTGTGGGATAGGAAAAAAAAATCAGTAGGAAGTCAAGCAGGCTGAACGCAGGGAGGGGGGCCTTGTCCAGTTTGCAGATGGTGAGGCAGGGACTTGGGCTGACCGCCGGCTGAGCAACCTCTGAAAAGCTAACCTAGACTGAAATATAAGGCCTCCTACACCTCCACAGTCCCACTTCTGGCCTCAAGTCCAATCCAGAAAGCAGTCAATACCTGCAGCACATCCCACCTGCTTCTCTGAAGCCTAAAAATGT